TAATTAAACCTTTAATTGGCTAAGGGGTGCCAAATGTATTATGTGAAACTCTTGTTATACATCGATGATCATTTGATATTCAGTGATCATACATGAAAGATCTAATGACTCTCCTCCACTGCGTATGCGCAGTTCAAGGCAACATCGCTAAATTTGAAATGGCAGAGCGAGGTTTATTGACGAGTATTTACCAGTGTTTAAGGCTATGAATAAAAATAAAATGAAGCAGGACAACCGACTGTATAAAATTGAAATTCGTGAGGCCGATAAAGGGAAGAAAAGGATCAAAATTCACTACAAAAGTTTAAGCGAACATACTAACAGATGAGTGGCGTGAATAGTATGGTTTTTTATTTGACTTCGAAGGATTTCACCCTGTGCCTTCACCTTCTGCACCTCAATTTCATTTCGGTCCAGTTTTCCATCCGTTCAACAACTTTGCCTGTGATTTTCCTGCTGCCTTGCTCGCACGTCTATAAGCCGTTTGCAGTCCTGAAATATTATTTTTGAAGACGTTTGGGATACGGCTGTTAACAACAACATCGCCAACACCAGATTCTTCAAAAATTCTCTTCACGACCGCGGCTGTGGCGGACTCGTAACCGATTTCTGCCGATTCTCTTTGCCATAATGTATAAATGAGAAAGCTGATAGAAATAAAATGTAGACCCCAGCAAGTTAATATTATAGGAAATTATTGACTCAAAACGCAAATCTGATTTTAAGATAGATAAAAGATTCACAGAAGTACGATAATATTAATAGGCACACATAAGGAGATGTTACACGGGACGATTCGCAACGACGACTGGGAAGTTTAGCGCAACACAGCGTTGCAATGCTGGAGCAATGTTGTAACCATCCGAAACAATTTCGCAACAATGTTGCAACGCGGTGTTGCGCCAAAAATCTTCGTTGCGAATCGTCTCGTGTAACATCAACTTTACTTGTTCATTTCGTGTCGGAATGAAGGAACCGTTGGTTCCCGTAACATCCGCATTGCCATTTGCTTTGCTGCGCGGTATTACAGTCAAACCAGGTCAAGCGTTCCCGTCGCTAACGAACTAATGAATTCATTCACGGAAAAATGATTTCGTTTGTTGATTCAATAATCCATTCATAAAATAAACAATCCAATAGTCATATTTAGCCTCGATTCCATAATCGAATGTTGATTCGATTACTGTTTTTTTGAAAAATTACACTTTCCACAAGTTGACCTCAGAATTTTGTTTTTTCCTTTTTTTTTTTCTGAGAGTCGAGTGCCGGCGAGTTCTGAAGTTCAAACCCAAACAAACTGTTACATGTACGCCAGTTTGCTGCCAATAATCAGTGCAACAGACCTAGGCCTGACCCCTTAGAAAACACGACGGTCAAACTGAGGTCAGTGTATGTGCGGTGATTGGTGGATTTCGATCCTCGGCCTTTGTCAGTTTCTTTGCGTTTGCGGTCTGTCTATTCTAGCTGTTATTTTGATTAAAGGCAATGAAGAACGCAATCGTAAACGGCAGGAAAAGGGAAGCAAATACGATTGAACACAACAGACAAGAATAAAGAACAGGTAGATTTTGTTCATAAACCAAATCAACATTTGATTATTGAATCGAGGTACAATTTGACCGTTGGATTATTCATTTTATGAATGGATTATTGAATCAACAAACGAAATCATTTGTCCATTAATGAATTCATTAGTTTGTTAGCGACGGGAACGCTTGACCTGGTTTGACTGTAAAGACGGAACTAACAACGCGACCAAGTAAAACTTCAGGGCCATGGGTCCGTTGGAAAAATGGATGCCAACCCCCCATAAGGTTTTTCTGAGTTTTTCCCTAGGGGATAAAACATCAGCACCTTACGTTTTCAGTAGCTGTTCGTTCTTCCCTCGCACACTTTCAGTGATTGTTCATGTGATTGTCTGACAGGTTCAGTGATGGTCAGTTCCTATATATGGTTACCAGATAAGACGTCATGAGTAGCAGGTGGTCAAGCCATTTTTCAGTCAAAGTACATGTTTTTCAACTTTTTTCAACAATAAAAGTAAATCTTGTGGCTAAAATCAAGCAAAGTGCTTATGTATGTGTTATTTTTTATGTAAAGTACAAAAAAATATCATTTTCGCGCTCATTTCCCATAATGACTTGCAAACTTCTATTTCCAACCTTGGGTCTTTCAGAAACATAGGGAGGTTATGGAAAATGAAATGGCTCCGAGCTGCTTTGAAGTTATTAGCTACTGACAAATCCACATCTGATACATGTTCCGCCCATAAATTTTCCTACTTTCTTATGTTCTTTATTTTTGGTGGAGTTTAATTATTGTCGAAGTAGATTAAAAAAAAAGGTCAACGCCAAGCCAAGGAGTGGCAATTAAAAAGAACAGTGTTTCAAGCTGAACATGCCACTATTACAGACTAACCAGCCAACCAGATCGACCAAATAACAAGTACAACAACCATATAATTAATGAAAGACATCAGTCATCCGACTAAATTAAGACAATTAAGACTGAACAAACGTTGAATACGCTTTATTTCGGACGAAATTTAAAAAAAAGATAAAAGAAAATCATAAAACTTAGCAAGCCTTGAAGTGAGAAGCTTTTTAGGTTTTATGTGGTAACGTCCGGTGATTTCGCAAAAAAGGGAACAGAATACAGGATAGAATTAAATCCGGTTTAATAGCAAGTAAGTGGTTATTACTAAATATCAACTATAGAAGTAATTAGTTATGTGTAATAACACTAAAGAAATTTCTTATGGCCAAGAAAATAAATAAAAACAAATTAAATTATATTTTCTGGGAACCCTCACCGACGCCGTTTTAGGACGTAAACAAACCAAGAGGTATTATGGGATGCTAACCGCGAGTTAGTTGCGGTAAACTCGAGGTTAACTGACCAGTCCTCTAACCGCGCTACGAACAACGCGACTTTGACCCCAAGTTAACAATTCTGCGGTTTAGAAATTTAACTTCCCGTTAGGCCTAACCCGAGGTTAATTTAACCCGTCTTTCGAAAAACCCGGCCCTGAGTTTAATCATGAACTCCTGAAATATTCCAGTAGAACCGGCAAGTAGTGCCTTACGTACTTTGTTTCAATACTGGCGAGAAATAGTTCTTACTCCGACTATCTTGAAGGGCCGGTCCCGGGGACCTTGCAGATTAATAACCTCAATCTGTTGTACGCTGACTCAGATCCGAACCAGATCGATTTCCGTCCTATGATTTTCCTCTGGTGGAAGACTCAAGAGATCACGCGTTATGATTCACTAGAATGTCTTGAAATGAAAGCAGCTATTGAAGTTCACGGCTGCAAAGGAAAACTCAACTTTTTCGCTCCCAATTATTTCTTTTACTGCGTTCCTGTTAGCCTTATAACCTTTCGTTTGCAGTCCTCTACAGTATTTGGCTTACGTAACAATTTCGTGGAATGTGTATCATTCTGATGACGGTGGAGGGTAACGCAGTGCCCGCGAATCCAAGTTCTTCGAATTCAAGCTACAGGTATATTGTAAATTCTCACCAGGGCAAAAATTCCGTAAATCATGCCTTAGGCAGTATAGGGGATTAGCCCAGGGCTGTCAGGAATTGAGGGGGGGGGAGGGGAAGGTGCTCAACAAAGTTTTGTATGGGGAGGCTTCGCCCAGAGTTCCAACCCCTCACCCTTCCTTTTTAATAATACCATTTTTAGCAGTAAAGGTTCCCCTTTTTTACACCTTCTATTGACAAATACCCCTTTCACATGCCTAGCTACGACAGGAGCCCAGGCCGATGGGCTCCTGGCTAAGAACTTTGCATCCCGGTCAGTGACGGAATGCACTTTTTTGTATAATTATGAATAAATCACAAAACTAGAAAAAACTTCTCGTCTTTGAAATCTTTCTGTAGGTATTTTAGGTTATTTTACATTCTCAAATGACAGATTTTACTACCCAACAACAACAACAACAAACCTTTATTTTCATGAATATAATTAATTACAGCTTTGGAAAAGGATAGAAAGTAAGAAAAAAAACGTTTTTAGTAAAAATTAAGTGTCATCACTCTGAAGTGATAGTAAGCTATCACGTAAATTTATCAATAATGAGACAAAGTTCATCAGTCGTAAATTAACATAGCTATCTTTAGAATTCATTAGTTTAATCACTAGGTCAAAGTTTGTAAAATAACTTTAATTGTATTTGATGAATAAAAAGAAACCATTATAGCGAGTATCCTCCGGAGAGGGGACCTCCTGGTTAGGTTAAATGTTACGCCGTTCCTTGCCGCGTAGATTTATTATCGTTAGAACTGTGTTTATCCGCCATTTTCCGCCTATAAATTTTCCTAACTTTTTTTTATGTTCTTTGTTTTTGGTGGAGTTAATTATTGTCGACGTAGATTTAAAACAAAGGCCAACGCCAAGCCAAGGTGTGGCAATTAAAAAGAACAGTGTTTCAAGCCGAACATGTCACTTTTACAGACTAACCAGCCAACCAGATCGATCAAAAATTTTTGTAAGCACGCTTGATGATCACAAAAATTATCTCGATGAAAGTACTGGCTTTTCTGATCGCTTACTATACTAATTAATTTGTTTTAATAATATAACAGCAATAGTTAAATTTAAGCAATAGAAAACGTTTTCCGAGTTTGCATGGCCTCATATAAACACGAGAGGGGTTGGGAGAATTCCAGACAGTTGACGTCACAACCATGGTTACATACCCTCATGCAAACACGCCAATCGGCCAATCAGAGCGTGTATCTTAGTTATTTTACACAACAAATCATAAAATGTTATCCTCATATATTCTGCTATCGTTTTTAGCACTTTCATACGACAAAAATTATATGAAAAACTTAACCCAAATTGAATGCAAAATAGCTTCAGAAAAGTAAACCCAAAAAAAGAAAACACATTTTAACTTCAATCTAGCCTGAAGCTTGTTCCCTCTCTAAGATGATGGCCTCAGCTTCATTTCAGTAAATTTGAGAGAGAGATTGCCTCTAAATCTATTTCATTTGAGACCTCGACCATCATATTTTTGTCCCACGTATTTTCCGTTTAGATTGGAGTTGTGGCAATTCTTGTACCACCAGGCATCAGTGTATGTCACAGAACAGTTATTTTGACTGTCTCTGTCATTATCTCGGTCTTTTGTTGTAAATGACATGTTATTAAGATCATGATCACCAGGGCCTAAAGAATCTCCCGCCGTCCCTGAATATGAGCCCACTTTGAGTCGATACTTCGCCTGCTCATCACCAATGTTAAACGTGCCATATTTGGCATACACTCTTCCTCCGTTCCAGTCCTCTAGTTCTACTCGTAAAGAACTGGGTCTAGCGGCCGTCAGCCTGTGGATCTTGTCGTTTCCTAACCAGAACTCAGCCGTCAGCTGACCAAAGCCTGATTTGTAATCGTTCCATCCCCGATAGAAATCCACCGAGCCATCCTGTCTTCTCTGAAACACGGTCCACCCTCCACCATCAGTGCGCATGTCACAATATACATTGAAGGATCCTTTGCCGTCTGGGTTCACAGAATATACTCCGCTCTGAGTATGGCCTGATTTTAACAGCGATAAACAATCTCGATCTGAAAGTATGAATAAACGTTCTATAAGCTACAGCGTTTTCACCGGACAAGGCACCGTCGGTAGTAATTTATGCATCCTCCTAATGGAGAGAATGAAGCTTTCAAAGCTGAGTCTAGTGGGAGGCGATTATTGGATGGGAGTCACTATGAGTCGTTTTGTTTATAAAGAAAATGATTAATAACGAAGACGGATATTTTTAATCACATATGAATATGTAAATATCAGGGTGTGGTGAATTTTCATAATCATTACTTATTGAGGCGTGTTGCAGAATTGTTTAGCATCGTTCAAGAAAAGGTTTTATTTTTTTAGCAGTATAAAAGCGCCACCCTCGATTAAGTACGGCGCATAAAAAGAAAGAAAAGAGATGCAGAATCTGACAGTTTTTTTTCAAAATTCTTTTTGAATGTCTGTAGCTACATTTATAAGGGCAGCGCCTATTTTCTAACTTTCCACACAAGGCATTTGGAACGTCATCGCGTAGGTTAAAAGCTAAATTTTTGATTAAGAGCTCCACTTTGCTAGCTTCTTTGCCGCCCAGATTTATGGAATGTTTCCATAAAAGGCGCTACAATTCCTTAAACTCAATACAACAATAATAATAGTCGAAAAACCAGACCTGGTTTCCGGCGCACTGCAAATCGACACTATCGTCTCGAATTTAAATGAAGATATGATCGTTGCAGTGGTAATTGCAATTTAAGCAATTGCAAATAAACCGGAAGAAAATTTTTCATCTCAGGAAAACATCGAAACGTCGCGATCAATAACTAAAGTGGATAATTAGTCTCGCTTGCTTTAGCTGCGAGACTCAGAAAATGAAAGCCTGGTCCCAGCCACGGTCCCAGGCGTTCCTAGCGGAGACCTTGGAAACTGGGTATAAGAATCGCGACGTGTCATAGCCCCCTGCTTTATTTTGTGATGAAAGCTTAGAAAAGATTGATGCGAAAGATGGAATTCTATCGCTTGAAAGCGTTGATTTCTTTGGAGCAAATGAATACTTCAGTGAAAATTTCTTTGGTGAGGCTATAAACTGGTCCGGTGTTGTAAGCTTTCATTGCATGCAAGTGGGTGTTGTGATTAGCATGCGGTTTATTCTCAGTGATTGAAATGACGCACCATGTTCATCACGTTTTTGGTCTCTGGCATTGATGAAATTCTCTCGAATTAATTTTCGTGTATTTATACGCTCGTTCTCAATCATCGTCGAATACCATATAAAAAGTAAATATCCTGAAGAATACTCGACCGTCGATTAAGTAGGAAGTAAAAAACTTGTAGCGAGGAAATCATTTTCCGTGTAGAATTAATCGCCCCTTCATTTCTTGAATTTCTGCCGGTAATCGCCAAGCAAGCGAGACTTGCGGTTTTTTTAACAGCGTTCTTGTTGTTAGACAAAAGGTCGGTCATACACATACCAAGAACAATAAAATCATCATTATATTGACCACAAATATTTGAGCACAACACTAAGGCTGATTCTTCGACATAAGAGATGCTTAAAGAAGCTCGCACGCCTTGTAAACCATCTCACCTTCCTTATCATTTTAAGATAATATATAGATTTAGCCAGGGCTAGAAGCGAAGCTCCCGTTAATAAATTCATAATTTAAATCAAACAATAAACTTGTAATCCACAGATCAGGGCACATTCATTTGACTTTTGAGGCAAAGGCTAAGTGATTTTAGAGAAAAATAATTTGACAGTCCAAGAGTGAAACAAATTTTGCATCAAGTTATTAAATAGTCTTATTTGTACACCCAAAAATAGCAATCATGTTCGATGACAGTAGATTAGGCCTGGAAAACAAATAGACCTATTCGTGTATTGTATTTGCATCAGCTGTGGCATTCACCAGTCTCTTCAACATTGCTCCGTTTTAGAGACTATGGTTAATTGGACAACCCCGAAATATAGTTTTAAGAAACACACGCGCCACGATAGTCCTTGGTGGCAGCCAATTTACACGTTGCATTCCTCTGTCTAAAAGAGAGGCCAAAATAAAAAATCAGGCCGGATTTTTTGTGTTCGACAAGTTTAGTTTACTAGTAAATCTTGGCGACGAATCTGGTGGCGTGTAAACCAGCCTTTTAAACACACTTTTTCTCATCATGTCTCAGGTAAATAGTACTCTGAGGCCCTTTTTTATCATACAGACCTCGGTCAGAATTTGTTCTTTTTTGCCCTATTTAAACCTATAATTCTGCAGTTTTTCACAATTTTGCAAGAGAATTTGCACTCATTTAATATCCGCGACGATCAAAGCACGCGCTTCCTTTGCACAACAAATTATAGCATATTGAATGATAAAACGTTGTCATGAAGAGAATTCTCAGATAATGCTGGGACTTTTCAGTTAGAAAAATCTGGTCCTATGTGATATGCAGGGTAATAATTACGGGCTTTAAATGAAAACGATAAAAAAAATTCCCAAAATCACCTTTTTGGCTAGCCGGACGGGTTCTCACTTTTGACAGGCACCAAATTTGCAGTGCGACTAATAGAGCTACCATTTACGCTTCAACATGATAGAGAAATTGTTATGTTTAGGTTTTATTTCCCTTTATTTATTAAACTGTGTATGGTTTTGTTATGTGTAATCTTTAAAAGCGAGGGACATTTACACGCGGCGTTTTGAGTATTCCTGCATGCGATGTTTATGTTCGACTGGAAACAACCGGTGCAGCGATGAAAATTGCGAGAGGGACTACTAACAATCACTAAAATAAGTTTAATTCGGTGAAACATGTACAGAGACAATAATTTTCATTCACGAAGAGAAGTATTGAGAGTAAAGTGTCTCTGAAAATCATGAGTCAGGTAAGCATAAGCTTATTTATGTTTTAAGCCGGCTCCCGGTGTTTGCTCTTTTTCAAGATGAACTCGAGGCAAGAAAATCGCTCAGAGCTTTCTGTTTACAGGCAAAATCATAACTAAATAATCTTCGGAACCTTTTTCTTTGAATTTGCGGTCAAAAAATGTCTACAGGCTTTTTAAACCTGATACTATTGTAGGTTAGATCATTGCTCGTGTATAAACTTAAGCCGCACGCTCGACTTCAGGAAACCGAAAAAAAAACACATCAAAGACAATAATTGCTCAGGCTTACCAGTCGAGATGCTGCTTCTAAAGGTCATCAAGTGTTCCAGAATCGCTTGAGACTTTTCAACCCTCTTACGCCTCAAGCAAGGGCAAGTGAGTAAGCTCATTTTTGAAAACGATGCCATCCGAAATCGGATTTCCAATGACTTTGACAAGCGGTGCATTTGTCAACAAAAAGCGCAATAAACAAACCAGCCATGAATTACAGAACAATCTTGATAGCAGCTGTATTTCACTTTGTACACCAAGTAGAAAAAGACAGTTTAAAACGTCACAAGATGACACAAAACTCCCGGACAAAACTCTGTCAGCTTCAGCTATCAGTAAGCAAGTTTCCAGACGCTGCATAAATTTTCCGCATGAACTCACCTGTCAAATTTTGACCAATCAGAACATAAGAATTGGACGTAGAGCGTGATCAACGCGTGACAGTGAGAAAAGTCAAAAGCAAATTGCCTTCCCTGCATGTAAATGTGAAAGCCGGTTGAATTTTCGCGTCCGGGCTCAGTTCGAAATCAACATTTTAAAAGTGCTGCTTATGAACACGACTTATTTCATATTCATTTTAAAAAAATTTAACTTGAGCCTGCCATCATTTGAAAAGTATCAACTTGTCAGCGGATACCTTCAAAACAACACACGAACTCAGTGGGTCTATACCTGAGCCCGCGATACGGTCATGCGATACTGGTCAGCAGAAACACTATTTTGACAGCTGTCAATTAATCAAAACATGGATGTACAATATCAGGTTGCGGGCTCCCAAACTTGCTAGAAAGTGTGAGATTAAACATTGGTATGCCTGTCGTGCGGACGGACGGAAGGTCGGGTGGTCGGTTTACGGTCACCTGATTGCCAAATTTTCTAGGATGGATAGATTTTCTAAGCTATGGGGCTTCGAATTGAGCCCGTGATCAAATAAAATATCAGCCCAAAACTTTAAACACTACGTGACCTCAATGGATAGAAAAATGAGCCCGCCATACACTCAGGTGATGATGGTCAGCGTATACTCTAGTTTGACAGCTGTCAATTAACCTTCATTAGAATGGCGAATATTCGAATTAACAGACTACGAGTGTGAGTAAGACATATCCGTCCGGCATGTAGTGGAAAATGCCAGATCGTGTACCTGAGCGACCCTGAGCCCACGTTATTAGTTTTCTGATAGTGGTCTGCACATGTCCCATTTTGACAGCTGTCAATTGACCTTAATTTGGCTTGCCAATATAACTTTAAACGACTGTCAGCCAACTGACAGCCTTGCCCGGCGTAGTTTCGTTTTTACGTTGAATTGGTAAGTCTGACATATTATATCAGCTTATATGGAGGGGCAAAACGACTGGTCTTTCATCTGAGCCCGCGAGATGGCCATGTGATAATTGTCAGCGGATGTCTGATTTTGACAGCTGTCAATCTAATCGAACTCATACGGATGGTCTACATAACTAAGAGGCTAGTCAAGTTGTGCAAGATCTATTGTGACATTTGACATCGGCTTACATGAAGTGTGTGTACGGGTGGGCGTACGCTACGTCATAACCAAATTTTCTGGGATGGATAGTTTACCAAATTTTCTTACCCATGGTGCTCCGCTGCGCGCGCGAGAGCTCCGCTATAATAATAATAATAATAATAATAATAATAATAATAATAATAATAATAATAATAATAATAATAATAATAATGGAATTCATATAGCGCTTATACATCGCTGTTCTAAGCACTTATGTTAAGTAAGTTAAGAACCGTATCGTTCTTTTGGAGACCTTCAGATGCGATCTTCAGCACCAGAGAC